TATTCTTGGCAATGCTCAAAGACCATCTTACCATGGCATTTTACAGTCATCACATAAATCACTACATTTTTTTCAAATGTCAATCCATTGTGAAAATGAAATTTCTTCAGGCAAAAATGTGTTTGTGAAAATACAGTGTGCTGTTTATTCTGAAAGGAAACTGTACCTGCTTCTTACTACTGAAGCAGGAGACTCCCAAGTGTTGTGCCTGTGTAGTAGTCAGCTATGGGCTAGGAACCCAGTGAGAGACCAAAAAATGAACTTATAGAATAGATTGTCTGCTTTAAAAAAAAAACCCTGCAGCTAAATTTCTCTTAATTCCAAATTTATCTTGCTAATGATAACAGTTGTCTATAAATCTATTAAAGACATTTTAGATCATGCTTGAAGTGTGCATGAATGTTCCCCCCTGTGCTGATGTCCGGCCCTGTGTACTCTGTCTTGAATGACAGAAACTGGTTTGGGGAATTAAAAGAGCCTTCAAAGGTTGGCATTTTGCTCGATCTTAACTACGTGATGAGATCTTCACTTTCAGTTTGTGTTCAGGTAGTTTTATCTTTCATTTGGATCTACGTTTGAAGCAGTAATCCTCATTTCCTTTTTGTGTTGTATAGCTGGGACAACTTCTGTGAATGGAAACCTTGAGCACTTTCAGCTAGGACAGGGTTTGAATCCAGCTTTGGATTTTCTTCCCATGTTACGTGTTCTTCTTGCTCAGACCTGTCTTCATTGCTGGTGTTCAGGATATTGAGTAGCCTCCATCAAACAGTGCTTCTTCTAGTCATGTATACATGTACAGTCACATACTGTGTGCATTGGTAGTAAATAATAGGTACAACAGTGAGTAAATACAATAAATAGTGGCAGTAATTGGGGTGTAGCATTTGGGATCCACTCTGAGTCCAGAATAGGGTCCAATTCATTTGTTGCCTCAGTATTTGCTACATTAAGTCCTTGAGGGGACATTTGCTTTTAGCAAACCACACAGGTTGGTGGATCTCCCTCATGGGGCTGAAGTGCTACAGTTTATACTCATTGAACTTGCAGGAATGCCTGCTCTGTTTTTCCAAGTTCTTTGTGCTGTGTAAACTTGAGTCATAATTACTGCTGTTGCCAGGAGGTGTCAGTTAATTTTTTCTGATGATACACTGGCATTTTGCTCGATCTTAACTACATGATGAGATCTTCACTTTCAGTTTGGGTTCAGGTAGTTTTATCTTTCATTTGGATCTAGGCTTGAAGCAGTAATCCTCATTTCCTTTTTGTGTTGTATAGTTGGGACATCTTCTGTGTTTTGGATTCACAGGCTGCAGCCTTTTAACTCAAGTAAAGGTGATTAAACATTGACAGTTTTAAACAGAATACTCTTCTCAAATTATTTTATTTTGTTAAAATTTGTAATATCCTTCAGTGGTCAAGTCAGACTTGCTTTGCTCAGTCTCTCTAATCACCTTGTCTGTTATCTATTAGGAGTGTTTTGAAGGCCTATGGTTCCTCACAGTAAAGGCTGGAAAAATAAGTTGTGATACCTGCCAGACCTTCATCATGCATGTCATGGTGGAGTTCCTTTCAAAGGCTTCCTTAGAGCTACTTTCTAATGTTATTTTCAAAATAAAAATTACTGTGTGACAGCTGAAGGTGGTGACTTATTTCCCATCCTGTGTATGTGACTTGTTGAATAAATACCTTGGTTGGCTTTTTTGAAGAGCTTCATTGAGTGACAAGCTGGATGTTATATGGCATTCCTGTCTTGGTTTTTTTTAGGGATTTTTTGTTGTTTTTTATTTTAAAAAGGAGTTAGATATTGAATCATGTTTTAGGAACAAGCTGGAGAAACACGTCCTGGGAGCAGGTGGATTTCTGATAAGTACTTAATAATTTTGAAATTTTACTGATCTGAAAACTTGAGACACACTGAAGCAGCATATGTGTAACAGGTGGTCTAAGCCATGGAGATGCTGTGCATAAATTAGTGGTTTAAAACTGAGCCTGTACTGATTAATAAGGAGTCTTTTTGTTACTGCTGTCTTCTGAAATCAGCCTTGTAATAGTTGAAAGTTAGTACTATGGAGAGGGATATGAAGAGTATAAATTGCTTTCTTGTGGGAAGACTGGTGTTATACAGGTTTCTTTTTCTTGAAACTCATCACACTTTCCTCTCAGCTGACCCAGTTACCTGGAATAATTTTCACTTTGCAATACTGTTTATCAGGTAAATGAGGAGAGGCACTCCTTAGTGGTGATAAAAATCATTCTAGTATACTAAAATATCTCTTTTTTCAAACCTTTCATATGTTCTGTAAAGACTTTTCATCATAACAATTAAGGTGATTGTCCAATAGTTGTCTTCATTTGTAGATGTTTATACTGATGTAATTTTACATAAATGGCACTTTCTGTGGGAACTGGCCTCTGGCACTGAGCAGGATCTTTGCATGGTGCTGGTCCAGGTGAGGGTGTGACTTGTACTGATCAAATTTTAGAAGAGAAACCAGGGTAAGTTTGGTCAAGCAGAGAACAGACTGTTATGTTATGGGGTAATTTAAAAATAACACTGGACAATAGATAGAAAATAAACATAAAAAAGAATGTAATGTTATTCTGCAGATAACTGTTTTCTGTTTTGCACTTTGTTGAGCTGGGATTCAGCTTCAAAATCACCAAAACATCAGAATAGATTTGGCATTTAACTCATAGCTAGAGTAGGCACAGATAAAACTGCTGTACTGTTTTGCTGTAACTAGAGCTTGGTTACCTGGGCTTCTGTAAATTTCATGCTCAGACTGGCTTTTTAATATCAGTGGCAGAAGTGATTAGAAAATATGTTCTAAAAGAAGCTACAGCTCAGAGTTTACAAAGTCAGGCAGTTTGATTGGCTCCTTGTACCATACAATATGTGACCAAAAGGCAATTTTATGGGAGTGGATTATAAACCAAGACTTAGCTTATGAAGGGACAAATGTAGTTCCAAAAAAAGCAGTCTTTGTGTCTCATGCGCTCTGGGCTCTGTCTTTATGCAGCTCCATTTCAGTAGAAACCAGCTAAAGAAGAAAAAAGGTTGAGTTTTATGTTTTTCTGTCTGTGTGGTGCATGCACATGCAGCAACTGGGAATGAAGAAAATCTCCATTTTGAGGCCATCTGTGTCGGTTCTTTTGTCTGAACCTGACAAGAGGTCATGGCAGATGGTGGGGTCACAAAGTCTGGCTGCTGGGGCTTGACAAAATGTGTTCATAAAGCTGGAAGAATCCCAACTGTTCTTACTGGCTGAGGAGCATTGTGGCAAAGGGCTGTAATAGTTTATGGACAATACCTTCTGCATCATTAGGCTTGACAGCAAATAACTTGTCATGATGAACCTAGTTGGCTTATCTGCAAATAAGTTAAAACTGCTCAGCAATTATGTTCTTAACTACAGTTTATTGGAATGAATTACTTGTAAAGCCTCTTAAAGAGAGGGAGGTCAGACTGCAACTGGAATTTTGGCCAGAGCTCCGGATGATGGATTTGGAGAGTTCATCTGCAGGGGTCAGAAATGTCAAAAAAGAACAGGCACCGAAGATCATAATTTTCAGATGCATTGCAAGAATTCAGTATTTGCTCCTTGCCATGACCTCTGTAGCTTTATGGCTTCAGGTTTCAGGATTACTGCAGATCCAGTAGCTCCTTTCCCCAGGGTGGGAATAGATACCTCTTTGTAGTATCTTCTCTAAAGCCAGAGAAAAATTTTTATTATTTTCTAGGATGTTTTGTGGTGAAACTGAAATGTCCAACTTTTCACAGGAGAATGTCTTAGTAGATTTGTGTGGTATTCACATGCTGGAGTAACTGCTTAATTATGGCTGCAATAAAGGGAGGCACCAAGGAAGATAAGTACAACTCAGGCAACAGGAAGTGGAGGACACCTCTAAGTTGAATAAAATGATTTTCCACTAAGTTTAATTGATGTGATGTCTGAATAAACCAAGAAATGTGTAGAAACAAACAGCCTAGAATTTAAAATTCTCTGGGTTATCCAAAACTACTAAAGCAGTGATGGGAAGTGATGGTAGAGTTCCCCATTGGTTGCACACACTACTGAAACAACCCCTGGCGCTTTCCTGGAGGGAGGGAAAGACATTGGCCATTCTCAAACTTGACATAGGTTAAAATACAGAGGAAATGGCATAAATTGCATCCTACTTATGTAGCTGGTGAGTTCTGCTGTAAATGGTCATGAATCCTCTTTGATAAGTGTTTAGGTGTCTTCCTAATTTTACTGAATTGATTCCACACTTCAAAGTGTGAACATTCTCTCTCATTCATCCAAATGCAATGCAAATGTCTTTTGTGGTCCATTTGTAAACTGCAAGTAATACTTATAAAGTACTTTCAAGGTACCTAAACAATTTATCAAGTTAATTCTATCTTTAAAATGGTTTGTGTTGACAACATTGATTTGTAACTTTTCTTCTGTTTGCTGTAAGGCTTCTGGAAGCTTTCATTTAAAAAACAAGTCACTTTAAACTATTTTTGGTGTACCAAATTTTTTATCTTTTCCTAGAATTCTAATATTATAATTCTAACTACACAGGTTTAATAAAAAAGCATTAAAATATTTAAAAGATGATTTAGAGCCGATTTTTTTTTTTCTTGCATGTTTCCTAAAAATTCTGAATGTTTTCTCTTTTTCTATATATACATTTGATTAAAAGCCTTCTCTGTTGTTGGCTAAAGAGACAGTGGAGAGAAGTAATTCACTTCCCTTTTTAAAGCCAATCTGCAATAAATGCAAAAATTGCATGGTTTTAATTATAAAACTTTACTAATGATATAACATGGTTTGCTAGCACATTAATGTAGTCAGGCCTTTATGTAAGTTGGGCCTTTATATATATGGTTTCATCTCTGCCTGTTCCAAGCAATGACCATTTTCAGAATCTCTGCAGAACCTGACTATTGTGGTGATTATTTTCTCAGAAGCTTGGGCTTCAACTAAGGTATTTCATTAACTGTCTTACAGGATGTTCATTTTAAAGATTCTGTGAGGATGAAAAGGGATCTCTTATGGCTTTATGAAATATAGAGCAATACTGTCTGACATGACGGCAAAAAATGTAAGTATGATCTTCAACATGTGTTACTGTTCATGTTGGCATTCTGCCACTCACTGCTGACTTTCAGAATTGTGTGCACAAATATAAGAAATCAATCACAAAGACCTTCAAATTCAGAAATCTTACCTGATTTTTGTATACCACAAATATGTACCCCATCATCTCCTGTAGTATTTTGATAAATCTATACTGGTTAGAAGCTCTTTAAGCATGTGGAGTTTAGTTGGTCAGATTGATAACTGAGGCAATGTTTTATGCTGTTTTCATATTGATCCATGCAGGTCCCTTCCAACTTGAGATATTTGGTGTGTCTGTGATCTCTCTAACATTTCTTCAAACTTATGTGAAAGCTGCACATTTTGTTGAATCTTCTCACCTTTGCACCTCTGTAAAATCCTTCCACTGAGTCTGAATCTCAGATCTGAAGAAAAAACAGAAGGACTGCATATTATTTGGCTGCTGTTGGTACACTCTTGGTTTCTAGAAGGCTGGAGGCTGCCTGGTTCCTTTGCTTGCTCATTACCCAGCCTGCAGTGGTGTCTCAGGCTCTATATTTGACTCCTCTATCCTGAGTTCTGAGGAAGCTTATGAAATGTCTTAACATCCTGACCTTAATTTTCTGCCTAATTAGCTGTGCTTCCTGAGGTGCACAGCCTGTGTAGAGAACAGTTCTGGTTAATCCTGGTGATCAGTGAGTTGAGGGTGACTTTGGGCCCTGAGCAATTTGCCTGTTGACATCCTGCATTGTAGTTAAATCTGAGTGGGTTTAGGAGCCAGCACCACCAAAGAAGTGCCCCACAGTGAAAGTGCAGGTAGCCCAGGATTGTGCTCTGTTCAGTACCTGCCAAAGCTTTTGTGCATATTGGGTTAGATTGGTGCCAATGATATAGTTTGGTTAAATTAATTCTCAAGTGTTGGAAATTTCTGTTGGCTTTATTAAAAGCTTCATTTGGTGTGTGGTTCCAGGCTTTGAGGTGTCTTATATCTCACTTTTTGATTCAAGTTTACCGAGACATAAAGTAAACTGATGTGTATATTCAAAGCCCTTTGCTCATTATTTCATAGGTCATATTTATCTCTAGTCCAAATAAATAATTCTACTGATATATGTGGGACAGCTGCACAAATCCAGGTCATTTGTGGCTTTGACCTTTTGTTTGATGCAGTCAAAGGATAAATACCAATCCCAATAAAATCCATGGAGTGCTGTGTAATAGTCATAGAGCGGCTGGAAGGGATTTCAGGAGCCCATCAGCTCTGGGGTTTGTGTAAAGCTCTTTGACACTGAACCCAGCTCCTTGGTGCTTTGTTCAGGCTCCATCAGGGCTTTGGGGTCTGAAAACCTACGAGGAGAGACGTGACATTCACTCTGGGTAACCTACTCTTCTTCTGAGTACAGAAATATAATCTTGTTGTTTACTTCAGTGCAATGCTATGGTTACTTTAGAGAAGAAATATTTTATTGGTATGCATACTTTGAAATTTTGCATGTCAAAATGATGCAAACCTAGTCAGATACCTAATATTTATGGGTTTATGTTTAAAAAAATCAGCTGCTGTGGTACAGATGGATGTAGGACTCAGTTTTCATGTTTACCTGTTCATGTGGTGATCATATGCTTTCTGTCACTGGTAGCACTTCTTAGGGTTTTCCCAGCCTTGGTTACTCAGAATTGCTCTGGTTACTCAGAACAGTGCCAGCCCTGGTGTTTCCTGGTGCTGTTAGAAGGTCATAATGCTTCTGAATTTGCAGAGTTGCAGGGGTTAGATTCTGTATATGCCAGGGGGTTCTGCAGCTCAAAATCTGTTTCAAATGTGAGGTTAATATTTGTTACAGTGTCAGAAATGATCTGCAGAGTTGAGGGAGAGAGCTTCCTTCTGAGAGTACTTCCATCATTTTCCTTTATGTTGAAGCATCAAGGAAAGGAAAGTTTAAAGTACTGGAATTTGAGCATCTTTCAGGAAACTCTTGAAGGGTTTCTGTCAAATGTGGAAGCTGCCACATCTGCATTCTGCAATCACTGCTGCTCAGCTGGGCATGTGTGTGCTCCTGCTTCATCACAGCAGTGCAGTGAGCTGTACCTGGAATGCCATAGCTGGAATTTCCACTTTGCAAGAAGCTGTGTTGAACAACCTCCTGTCCAGCCAGCTTGTGCTTCAAGCACATGCCAGAATGTTCCTGGAGACTGGATGTGTGTGCAAGATGAAAAACCTTCCCCATCACTGCTTTTCCTTCCTAACTCTGAGCATGTGGTGGGAAAATTATCCAAGCTGGGCTCACTGCTCATTTTCTTTAAACACAGGACCCTTGCTGGTATCTGTTTGTGGAATATTGTTTGTGGGTAATTTGACCTTCCTTATAAAACTAATCTGACCAAAGAAGCTATGAATAATAAAATGCTGAATAAAAGTTCTCTTGGAAAAAAGATGTTTATGTGCTTACCATATACATTGTACCCAGATGTAATTCACATCACCCTGTCCAACTGGGTTATTTCATTCTTTACTTATATAAGAAAATGTGGGGTTTTTCTTGCCTGTTTTGTGTCTCCTTTCCCATTGGTCCTTCAGGTAAAAAGACACCAAAACAGTATTAACAAATGGAGGGAAAAAAAGAGCAAATAGTCGTGGTAAATTTTAGTTTAGTTTACTCAAACAAATGAGTGATATAACTTCAGCAAGTTTTTGAATAAGACTGTTGGTTATTGATTGTGAAGTTATTTGTCAGTGCTTCTCAGAGGGTGGCTCTTGCCATAGATGAGGTCAGTGAAGTGGCTGTGATGTTCTCCTTGCACATTGAGCATGGAGGGAGGTTTCCCTGCTGAAGGTGCTCCCAGTGACTGCCCAGCCAGGCAGTGCAGAGGGCTGAGCTGCACGAGCTGCTCGTGGCAGTTGGCCCCTCCAACACTCTGCCTGGGACTCTTCCTTTCCCCTCACCCTGTTTGGAAACTTAGTCACCTAACAGGAAAGGCAAACACACCTCTAAGATATTTAGTAGTGTGCAAAGGCCTGCCAGGTCCTTTCTTCATCTTCCATCGTGGCTGGGTTCCATGGCAGAGTCCAGCTCCTGCCGTGCCCAGTGTTCAGGCACTCTGGGCCAGTGCTATAAAGTAGAAATATCACAGGAGCAGTACAAAAAGTAACAAATTATTCCATTTAAGCATTGGATTGTGTACTGGTTTCAGTTTAGGAGTTGTTACAGTTCAAGATTCCCAAAAGCAGTGTGTGGTCTGTCTCAGATAACAACATGGCCTGGGACCTCTTGAACACTGAGATGGAATCCTATGAAGGTCTTGCTGTGCTGCAGTATTAGAATGTTCCATCACACATTGCTTCTTCTGAGGACTTAGGATCATTCTTCTGCAGGAGAAACAAATTCCTTTAGATCTGCCACATTTCTCACTTCAGTTCTCATGAAATTCAAGTTTGTTTTCAAGCTCTTCTAAACTTAGATACAAGGATTATAAAATTGAGAAAAGTGCTGCTCTTTATAAATGTGCTACTAGGATCATTGTAATGAAAACAACATATTTCTGTGCAAACTGAAGTTCTGTAACTTTGTGTCATTTGGATCACTGAAGCACAATATATACACAAAATCTTTCAGAGAATTAAATGTGGAAGTTAGAATTTTCATTCTGACACTGTATATGTATGTCATCTTCAGTGTTTGATTAAAGCACTGATCTGAATTAATAGGGAAATGTACAGTTGTAGATCTAGAGTGAATGTTCAATTGTGAACACATTCCAGTGCTGTCTTTGAAGATGTTCCTTGTAATCCCTTCTCTTAGAATGAGTTGAGGCCCATAATCTAACATGATATTTATCCCTGTGGGCCCCTGTTCTTTCCCTGAATTTAAAATTTCTCCCATTGGTGTTCTAGTTGCTGCAGAGGCAGGCAGGGCTCCAGGGAGAAGCTGACACTGTTGTTGGTGTGAAGGCAGCAGAGGTGTGAGCCAGCAGTGCAGCCTCTTGCCCTGGCTGGGCCTTGCAGAGCTTTACCCTGTGCAGTTCCCAGCTGTGCCAGCCTGTGTTAAACATCTCCTCAAGAGCACATCCTCAGGGAGGAGCCTCAGTGGCCTCTCTCCACACAAGGAGTGTTCTTGTGCCCATCACAGGAGATCCTGGAGTGCTGCCCTTCTCCTGGATCTGCTGCCAAACCTGCTAAGGAGACGTTGTGGGGTTTTTTTGTGTCTTCCTCCCCTTGCCCTGCTCCAGCCCGGGCCCTGCCAGCCCTGCTGCATCGCTGCTGCACCGGTGCCACCTGCTGGGAGACAGCCCTGCCGTGGAGGGACAGTGGGACAACCTGTGACACAGCCCCCGGGGACAGCACAGAGAGTGGGACAGCCTGTGACACAGCCCCTGGGGACAGCACAGCAGCCCAAGCTGGGAGTGAGGAGGCTCTGGCTGGGTGTGCCAGGAAGGGCAGGGAAGGGACACTGTGACAGTGACAATGCCTGAGATAAACTCAGGGCTCTACTGAGCATCTCGAGGGGTTTGTTTATGGGAGCCATCACTGAGCTCATTTGGGCAGTGTTCTACTATCAGAGTAGTGCAGCAACAGTTTATCTTCTCACATGTCTCCTGATGGGGAAAAATTTTAGTAGAAGTATTTTCAAGAGTGTCACAAAGCAGTGTGTGCAGATTTTCCCCTACAAAAATTAGCTCCTGAATATTGAGAGACTGAATGCTCATAGGAGATATTCTTTTGTCTTGTGTAGTTTATTTCAGTTAAGTTTAATTTACCTAAAATTAAATTATGCTCTGACAGGAATATATTAAAATTCTTCTAGTGGCCCTAGCATAGGTTCCATTATTGCTACATACATCTCTAAAATAAAGCAAAATGTTTGATCCTTCATCATATGATTGCCTTCTTTTAACTTGGATAGTGGAACCCTTTGTCCCAACGATTTACAGAAGTACTCAAATTTTATAATATTTTAAAAAGAGGTTGGGATATGAGGGATTTCCCATCTCTTCCTTCCTCATCCAAGATGATCTTGTATTTTTCTGTACAAACTACACCTTCCTATGCTTTGTGTGCATGCTGAAGTCTGAGTTGCACTATTCTGTATAAGCTTGAAGTTTTCCATGTCTCCAGTAACTTCCCCTCAGTAAATCAGTGTATCTCTGAAGTTGGGAATGTGTTTAGAATGCATCAATAGTCACATCTCATACCTGCAGGCTGTGCAGCTTGGTACTGAGCAATTGGACATGGGCACATTTCTGCTGTTATTGGGGGCAGCTGCTCCCTTGCACTTGGAGGGGATGGTGCCTTACACCATCATAGCCAGAATGGCTGCTTGGGTCATATGTAGTACACAGAATATTCAGGGTGCTTTTTAGGTAACAGCTGAGTGAAAAGCAGACTTTCCAAATGTCCTGGACACCTTGCCTTGAGTCTCATGCACTTGTTAGGCTCTACTGTCCATAGGATTATGGTGTTTCATTATGCAGAAAGTTGCTTTCATAATATTGTTAGTTGCATATTAGAAAACATAGAAAGGTTTATCATATTTTAATACTTCAAAAATGTTTTGTTCAGGTTGGTGTGACTTCCACAAATGGAGACTTGAAAGGATTTATAGATCAGAACCAGAGTCCAACAAAAGGTAAGAAAATTCTATTTGATACATACATTAAGACTTATGTCACTGCAATATATGATTGATTCACATTTGGGTTACTCAGAATTTAAATGTTCAAAACATATTTCATACATCCCCACCTGTAGTTGTTTAATATCAACATGTAAGTGTCAGTAGCAAAGATGGGAAGGTCTTCAGGATTTCAGAGGGGAAAATAAGGTTTAGTAAAAATAATAAGAAGATAACATAAGCCCTTTTTTTCGTTCCTTGATGGTGAATAATATGCTGAATTTCCCAATTTCTAGCCCACTGTTAAAGTTTCCTGATTCTGTTGTAGTCAAAATGACAGAGAAGGCTAAGCATGATGTCATACTTCTTTCTAAACGTTCTGCACAATTTACAATAATAATTATGTTTTGTCCTCTCCTGTTTTATCTTAGCACTTGTAGATTAATCACTTTTGACTCAAAAACAATTTATGATCAGACATAACAGCTATGGTATTCCAGTAAAATAAACCCCTTATCTATATTAGAAAACTCAAGGATTTGCAGTTCAGGAAACATTTCAATCAACCTTTCCAAGTAAATACTGGTTTGCTGTTGTCCACTGCAATAATCCAATGCATGTAGTAGCAGGAAGGTTGATTTCTGGCTGATGCCATCAAACCTAAGAGACTGAAAAATTGAGACAACGAAACAAAAAATGGCTGGAGCTACAGTATCTTCCTCATTTTCTAAATTTTGCAGAACATGACAAACTGGTGGAGGCCTTTGAGAATTATTCATTGCACATTGTGCTTTATTGTTTTGTGATTATTGTGCTGTGATGCTAGGGAAAAAGACTAAGTGCAACATTTTCAAATAATTTCTGAAACAAGCAATTGATTTGTCCAGAAAATAACTGAGTAACTTTATAAAGTATGGGTCATTACTGTTAGGAATGTCCCATTCTTTATCAGATTTTGCTTCTGGGATGATGGATGCATTATTACCTCCATTTTTGTATATTTTTTAAATGTTATGATCTAATGATTTTTTTTAACCTTGAGGTATAGTTAGAAATTGTTGCCACCTCTATTGAAATAAAATATCTTGTTCACAATGGATTACTCTTCTTAGAACATCAAATATTCCATAAAAGCTGGGAAAACTTGTACAGGTACAGCCAGTATCTAAGCTGTCTCTTACTTTCAGTTTAAAATATCCTTTACTTCTTTTGGCATGTCCACTGTTGAACTCTGGAAATTAGGGAGGGGGAGAAAAACCCCAAACAGGCATTCAGGTCCCCTGTCTCTTAACAGGGCTTTGTGAGCTTCCTAGTGAAGGCACTTTGGTTTCTTTGGGGTTTTGGTGGTGGTGGGTTTTTGTTTGTTTCTTTTTGGGGCTTTTTTGTTGTTTTTTTTTAATATACATTATTTAAATTAAATAATTTGCTATAATAAAAATAAAGGCAATTTATTGCTACATTTCTGGGCCTATTTATACTGTGCCTTCATAACACCCTTAGACTGAGGTGTGGTGCATTTATGATATGTTCAAAAACAAAGGAGAGAGACCATTTACTCTACTGAAAACCTTCTTGAAAGCATCAGATTCCAAGGGCTAGAAATTTTTGCTTAAAAACAAGTTGCATTTTTCTTTTCTCTCCAAGAAGAGAAGTGTGGTGTGTGTTTGTTGTTTGCCCTGCCCAGCAGAGGGGGCCTGGGGGGAGCAGCCCAGTGAAATCCCAGACCCCGGCTGGATGCCAGGGCACAGCCAGGGCCCCCAGAACTGGGCACATCTGCTGGGCCATGGCCACAGATTCCTACCTTAGAGTGGCTGATGCAGACTCACCCAAGGGTTTGGAGGGATTTTGCTGTCCTTAGTTAACACTTCTTTGTTACTGTACTCCCAGTTCCTATGAGCTTATGTGTTGTTCTTTGTTTCCTGCTGTGGAGGGAAAAGGGAGTCCAGGCACAGAGCACCAATCCTGCAGCAGGCTCCACGAGGGAGCAGCCATTAATCACATCAGAATTGTGGAGGCCTTGCTTTGGGTGGGAATCTGCACCTCCAAGACAACTTCACAATGGACTTCATTTCAGCGCATCTTTCTATTACACAGTACCTGTCTTTACTAAGTCCTGATAGGGCTGGTGTTTTAAAAACTTGGTGCACAGGGCTGCTGTAAGAGAAGTACTTCATTGTATGCTTGAAGAGATCGGCTAAAATGACCAAGACATCAGCAGCAGTAATCCATAGCCTGTGCCTGGTGCTTTCAGATTCATACAGCTGTTAACTCCTGTAGATTTGTCTCTAATTGAACAGTAAAAGGCTGAAATTGTACTGCTCAGTGTAAGCCTGAAGTACATTGAAAAACTGTCTGCCCCATTTTATTTATTTCTTTTCTACAGGTCTCTTTGATTTCATCTCTGTGGAATTTTTAAAGTTAGGTTTGTAGCCCAGTAATTTTGTGCAATGCACAAATGAAGAAATGTACCAAGAAAATACTTGTGTACTAGTAATGCAATAATAATTCCATTTTTTCTATATGTTTTTATCATACTGATCTTGGAGATCAGTAAATTTACTGATCTTAGTGTAATAGAGAACCCTGAGGACACATCACATACATTATTCCAAAATATCCCAATGGGCTGCTGAAATCTCACAGCTCTGAGCTGGGGTTTTTGCCATCGTTGTCAAGCTATAGGCTGTATTATTAAAAATGGCTGTCATTGAGACACTTTTTAAAAGTGGACATTTGTTCAGAGCTCTGAATATGAAATCCAAATTACCACAACTTCCCTGGTGTTTTGTTTGAAGATTCAATGGGTTTTTTTGTTGCTGTATGCTTTGTGTGTAACCCCAGCTGGTTGGGCTATGCTCCCCATCAGCCATGGTCTCCTTCAAACTGGCTGTGACAGATTCTATAGATTCTCCAGTTGACATTGTTTCTGATTATCTTTGCAACTGAGCTGCAGACCTAACACATTTAGTTATACAGGAAAAAAAATCATTAAAATTTATTCAGCTTCATATTTGGATAGGAGTGCATGTTGTTTATGTGAAATGAGGCTATTTAGGGTGGCACATAATGATTTAAACTGAGTTTGGTGAGCTGCTTTGTGTGTGCATGTGAGCATACATGTCCATAAACATGAATAACTTTATCTGTGACTGCTTGAAGCTAAAGATCATTTAAATTGATTTTTTCTTTTTGTGCACCAGTAAAATTATTGCACAAATGCCAGGAAGAATAATAGTTATGTAGCAATGATGGTTTTTTAAAATATGAAATTACAGCAACACTGGTTTCTCTCCCTGAGAAGCAACAATAGTGGTTACTGAAGAATGGAAGAATAATTTATGTAGAAGCAAAGTGCTTTTGTTCTGAGAGAAACATACATATATATATCCACTGGCAGATTCTTATTCTGAATTTGCTTCAGTGCTAGGGAGGCTCAGTTTGGGATGGCTCTCTGTGTATTGCAGCTAAAGCCTCCCTATGAGAGTTTTAAGTGGGTTTCTTTCCCATGTGCTTGGTTTTCCATAGGTAAATGGGAATAATGACACTGACCTCCTTTGTGCCTTGAAAGTACTGCTGAGAAACATTATATAAGAATTGAGTATTATTATACAAATCATTCCAGTTTGATCCATCTGTGCTGACCTTTTCCTGCATGCAGTGAGATTACCGTGACTCAGGGCTGATGGGGCTCATTGTGTTCAGCTTATCACTGTACTCACTGCTCTTGTGCCCTGGGACATAAATCACTGTAATCTTTTTTGTCCCCAAATGATGGGTGTTATTAAGACTTGGCATTTATTTAGAATTTGGTCATGTTTAAAGCCTTTGCAGTTGCTTTGTGATAGTGTATATAGTTAGTTTGATGATATTTCTGCTTTCAGTTGAATACCAAAATCTGTTGAATGTGTTGTCACATCTACTTCCTCCTAAATATAATGATATAATGATATAATAATAATAATCTTTGAAGCAATTAAGGTTACAGGAGTATTGGGACCATTATGCTATTTGGAAAAAAAGAAAATGGTAGGGAGGAATATTTTATTTGTAATTGATAAAACTTTCTGTTTACTATTTTTTCAACTGCTGACAAACACAAAAAGCAACCTCTTACTGTGAAGAATTTGGTTGTTCTTTCTTTCTGGTCACTGCGGATAAGAAATACCTCACTTATAAAAGCAAACTTTCTTTTTCATCCTATCTGTATTTCAAAATCTACACATCCGCATATTTATATTTGCCAATGAGGAAAATTAAAAGTTAGAATAAGGACAGGGAAACATTTCTTTGCAAACCTAGTCAACTCTTAAGATTATTTTGACAGTACTGCTGCCAAATGAGGGATTTGTGTAGGGATTAGAAGATGAAAATCTTTTTTATTGACAGTAACTCTGGCCAAAAAGACATTTAAACACACACCATATGCAAGCAAATGTCTTTTTAAAATCAAGATCAGGTCATTTGAATGACCCTTGTATTTACTGAAGTTACCCAGTGGTGCCAATGTTCATTATGCAGGGAGCCTTGTAAATAAGGGCACAGTGCAGCTGTAGCTGCTAATTAGTGCTTTATTAGTGGCTTTTCCCAGGCTGCTCAGTAAATCTGGTGGGTTTGTGTGGCTTTGGCCATGGGTCTGCATGTGTGTGTGAGGGAGCATCCATGAAATGTTCTGAGCAGTCACAGGTGCAGCTGGATGCCATGGATGCCATGGGCGTCAGTCTGCCTGGCTGTGCCCAGTGCTGGGTGCCCACCAGGGTGTGCTGGGTGGCCCTGAGCCTTGTCCAGGGCTGTGAGCCCCACAAGGCCACTGTGGCAGGGACAAACGTGACAGCCCAGTGCCTCCTGCAGGCTGGCATCTGCAGCTGGAGGCAGCCCTGTGCTGGAGCCCTGTGGTGGAAGAGCTGGGAGCCAAAGCCCACATTTCACAATTTTACTGCACTTGGCCGTGTGACCTTATGCTGTAAACACCAGAGAAACGAATTTATTTCTTTTCCCTGCTAAGAAAAGGGACAAGAAGAAATAGTATGAGAGCTGATCTTGGAGGTAGTGGGATCAAAAGTTTCAGTTGCAGCAGAGAAGAGGAAAATTCCTACAGCAGTACTGGGAAGTGACACGTCATTGATGGCACCAGCCTGGAATGAGGGGAGAGACGAGGTGTTGATGGAATATGCTGGCACAGCTTGGGAAGTCCTGGGCAAAATCCTCTAGCAAAAGTAAAACTGGCAAGTGAGAGAACTCTTTTGAGCTCAGCATGGGAACATGGTGTATGTAAATCATTAATTACTATCTTGTGCTCTCTGGCACTACCTCACAAAAGATTTTTCATAACAGAGCAAAGATTTACTGGAGGGGGTGGGTTTGCAAGTGTGGGGGGTTTATATTTGTTTTTGTAGGTGAGTTACATGACTGAATAATTTATTCATTTTATTGACTAGAGATTCAAGCTGCTTCTGAAGATGTTTTCAGATACAGATTTTCCTTTTGGAAAATTAATATTTAGTACTAGTATTACTCCAGATGCCAAAAGAATCTACACAGAACATTAGAACATCCTAGTATCAATTTGTTTGTATTTCTCATATATCTGTTGAACATTTCTTATGAAGATGAGACTTGGCATAAATCTACATCTTTTCTACTGCTCTGCTGTAAGATCCTTTTTCCTCTCAGTTGTGTTGCTTCTGCTTCCTGTTGCAGAGAAGTTACTTTGTTGAATTTATCATTTTTCAGTAACCTCATGGGAAAACAGGTATATTAAAATAAAATGTAAAAAAACAGACCATGGTTCAGGGCCAAGTGAGAAAAGAAAATTGGGCAGTGGAGGTGAAGAGGTGATGTGAGAAAAGGCAGGGGAGCAGGGATGTGTAACAGCCCTGAGTCAGCTCGGGCCCTGTGGGCTGAGCTGAGTGCTGGCTGGCTCCCGGGGGAGGAGGGCTGGTGCTGTGCTGCTCTGAAGGGCCCTGTCACCTCAGATGCCTCAGCTGCTGGCTGCAGTGCCAGAGAACATCAGGAGCTCTCCAGGAACCTCTCGTTGTCCTCATGACCCCAGCCAGAGCCAGGCTGACTCTGGATTACCGGGCAGGGGCCTCAGAGCCGCCCTCCCCACGCTGGGCAGGCTGGAGCAGGAACAGGGGCTGGTGTTTGATTGATGGGCTCCCAGCTCTCCTGCTCTGAAGCTGTCACAGAGAAAGGAGCTGCTGCCACCACAGTGGCAGTCTGGATAAGCCAATGTGCTCAGGGCTTGGAGAGGCTTGTGCGCAGCAGTTTGAACGCACAAGGAGTAGCAGTGGTGCTGCAACAGTTTTGATTTAAACTTTAATTCCAAATAATCTAAATACAAGATGCAATTTGGGATGGAGGAGGAGCAGGAGTATTTTGGGGCTGTCAGCACAGAGCCGCTCTTCTCTGTGGAAGGCAGGATGATTTAGATCCATAAGCAGTTTGGGATCACAGAGATGATAAACATCTTGGTATGAGAACACCCTGCACTGGAGAAGGAATGGGAGACTTTATTGTGACGTGCAGCTACCTGTGACTTTAGGTGAGTTGTAAAGGCATCACTTACTCCATCTGTGCAGTGGCTGGCTTACATCAGCAATGACTGTGGAATGCTCTGGAACAGTCAGATGAGGAATAGTTAAGGCTTTGAAGATTTATGGATGTATATTTCTTACACATGACTATGATTGTAAGTAGGATTTGTATGTTGACTTCTTTTAGAAGTATTCTCATTAATTTTCACTTCTAATGCTGAGGAATGTCAGGCTGTGTGCTCTTTGTCTTAAGTAAGAATAAATCGTTTCTGGAAATAAAAGACATGTAATTTTAAAAGTAAAATAGTGAAGGTGTAGTTTTTTGAGGTGTCCTTGTGACATCTGCTGAGAGGTCTGGAGCTTACCCGAGGGTGTGTTCACAGCAAATAAAACAAAGTCAACCTGATTCCAGAGCGTTAAAATGGTGGGAGAATTTGCCAAAGTGTTTTTCACAGGTTACTAAGGAAGTAATTTAAAACTCTCCTTTTACCATTCTTTTTAGGTAATATTTCAGTAATCACATTGCCAGTTTCCAGCACCAACTCTCCCACTAAGATTTTGCCAAAAACCTTGGGACCAATCAATGTGAATGTTGGACCCCAGATGGTGAGTTTTGCAAGCCCAGTAGTGCCAGCTTGTGTAACTGGCTGTGACTTCCTGTGGTGTAAGACAGGAACACGAGAGGAACTTGCTGCCTCCTGCCTCAGCCACAGAGTGCCCCGGCTGTGTGGGAGGGAGGTGACCTGGGGGCACAGCAGGCCTGGTGTGCCAGAAGTGCCACTCCCAGCAATGCTCTTGGATGTGCCCTTAGGGGGTACCTGTCTTCTGGGCTTTGGGTGGAAATTGAAACAGCTTTACCAGCTGACACTTAAACTATTACTCAAATGTGTATTAAGAAAATCCTCTCATTGTTGATACTCTTTGAATGCTTTAAGTCATGTTCTCACCAGTAAATCTCCAGAATTGTCAGAGAATGTCTTTGATGTGTTGGTAGAAATTCTAAACTTGTTGAAACTACTCTTCTTAAAACTCTCTTTTCCTGTGCATGATAACTGTATTTGTATATTGATGTTCCATGGATTTTGGATCTAGTTTTGAGAAAAAAATTAGATTTTCTGGTGGCCAGAGAGCTAAATAAGCAATACTGTGAACAGTTTCTAGTAACCTGAAACCTCCTTGCCAAGCACTTAGCCCGAGTACAGAACCATTTGATGTGTTTCATAAAAATGGTGTTGGGCCTTTGTCACCTGAGCAGTGTTCAGTGGGGTTTGTCCCAGCTGGGCAGAGGGGCACACACATCACAGCCACTCCTGTGGCACTCCCAGCTGGCAGAGCTCTGCCCCCAGCACTGGCCAGGGGCTGCCTGCCAGGAACAGCTGAGAACGTCAGCGCTGATGTCTCACAGGCCTGTGCCCTGTGGCACTGCCCTGGAACATTCTGCCACTGAGGATATGTCCTGGCAGTGCAATAAATAGCCCACAACAGGGAGAGCTCTCACTTAATGCACTTCCTACTCTTGTGACAGACTTCTCAAGCCCTGCTTTTGCTTTCAGTGAGCCCTGCTTGCACTTTAGGTTCTACGGCAGGTAGAAGTTGCAAAAGCTACCGTGTGATGTGAGACATACCATCTGTATTCTTTTTTTTATTTTATTTTTTATTCTTTTATTCTGCTGTATTCAGAAAACATTTTCTTAATGAAATGCCATTAACGCAGGCTTTCTAAGAGACCTAGCATACAGCTGTGTTGTGCCAGGCTGTTTAAAAGCGAATGTTCCCGAGCTCTCAGCAGTGGCAATGTTAGCGCTCCCTCACCACCTGCCTGTGTCAGCAGCACCCTGCTTGATTAACTAATTAATTCGTGTAGGCCTTATTTCCCCCCCGCGGGTTGCAGGCCCCGGTGCCGCTGCGGCTCCTTGGAGCAGCGCGGAGGCTCCGGCGCGCAGCCGAGCCCGGGGCTGCCCGCGGTGGCTCCGGGGCCGCTCGGCGCGGGCAGGAGCGCTGCAGGAGCGGCCGGGAGCCGCCAGAGGGCGGCGCGGGCCGGGCCGGGCCCGGCTGTGCCGAGCATGGGGCCGTTGGCAGCCCCGGCCGCAGCCGCTCCTTGCAGCGAGCCCCGGAACACCGAGCGGCCCCTCACAGCTCTGCCCCGAACACCGAGCGGCCCCTGACACCCCTGCCCCAAACACCGAGCGGCCCCTGACACCCCTGCCCCAAACACCGAGCGGCCCCTGACACCCCTGCCCCGGAACACCGAGCGGCCCCTGACACCCCTGCCCCGGAACACCGAGCGGCCCCTGACACCCCTGCCCCGGAACACCGAGCGGCCCCTGACAGCTCTGCCCCAGGCCGGAGCAACAGCCAGGTGACAGGAGCGACACCTGTCCTGTGCCTGCCTGCAATGGGTAAAGGCAGGCGCCTTTGGTTCTCCAGTACCAACAGGAAATAAATACATACTTGCACCTGTGCTTTGGTTTCTCTAAAATTCTCTTTTTCCTTGGTTCTGTCAAGCTGTACGTTTGCAAACAATAAATGAGATAAATTTATGTCTTTAAGACAAAAAGACGTGTATGTATTCACAGCGTGGTACCAGGGGGAATGTGAAGTAAAGCTCAATAAGCTAAGGAAATGGGGAATTCTTCACATACCATTTTTCTACTTGTCTAAACAATAGTGATGGATACCAAACAAATGCTGTATACTTATCTCGAGTTCATATATATATATGCATATATATGTACACACTTGCAGTACCTATATATCTGCTCTGTACTTACAGCAGTTAGTTACCTGAGTGCCTTGGGAGGCTTTCACAGCTGTTGGATAAGTTAAATAGTAAAGGAAACCACAAAGTTTAGTACAGTCACTACTCCAAATGTCACTAATAAATGGAGTAAAGTAAAACAAAGTTTAAAATATTAGGTAAGGTATAAGAGTAGAAAGCACTGTCCAATAAGGTTTGATTTGAATCTTACCATAATGGAATCAAAAAAAATAAATTTGGTTTATTTTAAAGATAAGCTTTATCAATACTGTTTCATTTTAAAATATTATTTAAATTATTCTGGTGACCTACTTTGAAAAATGAACCTGGATGTGATTTAAATGTTGAGACTGGGTGTTGGTGTTAACCAGTGTACCTACAATTTCACCAGGTTTGCATAAATGTAAATTCTATCTATACCATAAAGACTTTACATTGAATTCTGTAGGTACAATTAGTTGCCAGAGTGCCTTGGGATCTTGTGATTGCTAGAAACTGCAGGGAATGCTTTGCCTGCAGCTCAGATTGTCTTTTGTATAGACAATTGCAAGAGACAAACCCATTGGAAAGAAAGAAGGCTGTATTGATTACATTGATCAAGAAACAGTTGGGTGTCTATAGGTACAGATCTCTGTGCCATACCTAGGAATTACTTGGAATCATTTGTCTGGTTCTTGTCCATGTGAATAATGCAGTAATTGGTACAACTAATAGGGAACTTGGCAGCACTGTAATGGCTTTGCTCTATGAAGATCTTCTGGTGCCATCTCTTCTGTATACTGTGACTGCTTCTGGTACAGAATCATTATTACTTTTCTTAGTGCAATGCTTAGTATGGATTTTGGGCTGTATTTACCTCTGTTTTCTTTAGAGAGCTGTGGTTTTTCTTGCTAAATTTTACAGATCATAAGCACCCCCCAAAGACTGGCCAGCTCAGGGAGTGTTCTGATCGGGAGTCCGTACACCCCAGCTCCAACCATGGTCACACAGACACACATCACAGAGGCGTCTGCCTGGGGCCCAGGGTAAGGCTTTGGTCTCTTTAGAGGTGTCTGAGCACCTCTTCTCATCTTTTCCATTATTTATACTGTTGAATCTATGCTGGCTTACTTGTTTCTACTTCTTGCACAACTAAATGGAGTATGGCATGTGCTTTTCAGACTGGGAGGCACTTCTGATGTCTGGAGCATATGAACACAAATTATAAGCACCAGTCACTTCACTGTCTGGTTCCTGGTGAAAATGGAGGATCACAAGGACTCCTGTTAAAAGAAGCCTTTATTTTTTCCTGAAGTTCATGGTGCATCCATGTAGCGCTGCTGTTCAGCACAGCAGCAGGTGCCTACAGGGAGAGAGACTGTCAAAACACTTCAACAGGCATTTAAGAATAAACTCTAATAGAACACTTTGAATATAATCAGTGTGCTATTTTTATTACTATCCTACATTAACAACAAGTTTCATGGGGCTCTGAGGTGCTCCAGCCAAACATGACTTTCTTTATCTCATCTAATTAAATCTGGTCTTTACATTGTTTCTTGGTATTTTGTTTTAATACCAGTACTGCTGAGCTTAGCTGTCTGAAAACAGAAATGTAGTGCTTTGCCACTGAAAAAGTAATACATTTCTGCATCTAGATTAATTTTTCTAATCAGTGATGAATGTCAATATTACCTTTTCAACAGTAAAAATGGGAAATGGAGCATCTAGGAGAGCAGGAGTGAGAGTGCAATATTTGTGCCTTGACTTTTCTCCATTTTACTCTGTAAGCAAGGTCCGTCATAGGTTGTACTTCCCAATTACTGTATTCCTCCCCAGAGAGTCAATAAACTGCAGGCCCAGCCACACAGTTTTTAAGCTGATTTTTTTTTCCTAGCTGAGTGTCCATTTCCTGAAATACCTGCACTTAGTTCTGATTTTATTTGAGAAAGGAGTTGTCAAAGATCACTGTTTTCTGCACATTTTGTGAAAAGTGGCGGCCAGACAGAGGTTCTTTTCAGTACCCAGAAGAGGGACAAACTCTGCTGTCTGGTCACAGCTTGCTGAACCAGAGAATTGACAGCCCTCACTTTCCAAAGCACCGTGCAGTGGAGGGCATTCCCAGGGCAGCCTTGGGCAGTGCATCAGCCACCACCACCAGGCAGCACCGTCCTGTTTGTGTGCTGCCCAAGTCCAGACACGGGATTTCCAATGAGCCTCATCCATAAAAAGGCTCGGGCTGACTCCAGGCAGAGCAGTCAGTAGTGATGCATGCAGGAGTCCATACAATGGGCCAAATTTTCATTTGAGGAACAGAGCTAAGGAAGGGTCTGTGGTATTCCTGAACTGAGATAGCGAGCTATTGCTGAAGACACTTCAGAAGACAGCTTGCTTTACCCATTGTTTACTTCACAGACTCCAAATTATTTCCAAAAGGAGAGGAGCAGGTTCACTGGCAGGACTCAGCACAGGCTCTGGCAGCCTGGTGTGCAGACAGGGCACAGCTCTCACTCACTCCCTGCTGTCCCAGGCCCGTGCCCAGGGCAGCCCCCAGCCCAGCTGCCCCAGTTAAGCACCATGGACAGAAATCCCTTTGGTGCTGCTGAGGGAGGGGCCTGGTTGTGCGCTCTGGATCACACAACCAAAGTGTGCTGGCTCTCAAGCCCAGCTTTTCAAACTCCTCATTTTTATTTAGTGCCTTCCCAGCAGCAGCAGGTGTTGAGCTGTAGGTCTGTGCTGGGAGCCCAGCTTCGGAAAGCACAGGGACAGCGTTCCCCAGCTCAGCACAGCTCTTGGGCACTGCCTGGGGCTGCTGCAGGAAAAGGCAGGGCTGGAGAGCAGCTCCTGCTTGCTGTGGGGAGTAAACTGGAGGAAAGGAATGGCCAGTGATTGCAGACTGCTGCTGTTCAAAATTCATAGCAGCTGCTTCTTCAGAGTCTGTCTCCAGCTCTGTACGCATCAGCTCTAACAGGAATATGTTTAGTGTTTTACCCTGGGTTTTGTTTAAAGATTCCTAAACATTTACTGGCTTGAAAATATAGGATATATCTTATGCACTGTTTAAAGACATTTTTCTTCCATATGGAGGAATTTTAAATAGGAATTTTCAAAGGAGCCCAGCTTTTCCTTTTTGATGGACTTTGGACATCTAGCTCACACAGCACTTCCTGTAGTTCCAGGTGAAGTGACTTCCCTCAATTCCTGTGGGCAAAGCATGGTAAAATTTGGAATAGAATTTGTCTGGCAGTGTGCTCTGACAACTTCCTCCACAAGTCCTAACCACCTTCCCTCAAATTTTGTCAAGCTCTGTGTGTTGTATTTTTCCCTTTCAGTAAACATGTAACAGCAAACACTAGACCAGCTAGGCCCCATATACAGTGATTTTAGTGGTCCATAATGTTATTTTCAACCTAAGTTTGAATTGTCTTGTCTTAGGGAGCGAAAACGGACTCAAGAAATTATAGAGTCAGATTTTTCAGAAAGGTGAGTGTTACTGAATGTGTATGTTGTGTATAGAGTCATACCTACTTTACTTCACATTTGCCTTTCAGAAAGATAACTGCCCAGTTCCTGCTTTCAGCAGTTTTCACTCCTTCACATCAAAACTGTGTTGTGGGTTTTTTTTTAAGTCTGCTGATGTTCCTTTTTATTCTTTTTTTGTTCATTTTACCTGTATTCTGTTTTCTTAGGTACATTCACAATTTTGAAAAACATTCTTGTTTTTTTTAATAGTTTCTTTAGCTTTTTACTGCTGATGGGGACCATTTTTCTGTAAAATAACAGCTCTCCCTGGAGCACATTGTCAAATGAAACCATGAGACTAATTAAAAAAAAAGGAAAAAAGAAACAAAAACAATACAGCTGAACTTTTTAAAGGCTTCTATTGAATTACATATCCAGATCTAGTTTGTGTGATAAAAACAACTGCTCCTGTTTTTTTCTATTACCATTACCTTTTCTGGAAGAAGGTGAATGGAAAATAACCCTGACAGTTTGCCAGTTCTTAATTTAGCACCTTAAAACCCAATGACTATGTACTTACTCTGCACAAAAGAGATTCTTGTGTCTGTTCTATGATGGATGTATAGGTCTGTATACTGTGATGTATATGTGTGGATATATTCTATGATGGACACATTTTAATTCCCTCAATGACCAAGTTTAGTATCTCCTGTTGTATATTACACAGGGAGGTTTGAGCCTTTCTACTTTAGGCACACACATGAGATCTCCACATAAACATAGCTCCCAGGTACATAAGCACCCTGGGAGATTCTCCTCTTTTTTTGGTTGTTCTTTTGTGAGACTACCTGGAGATGAATTACAAATCCATTTTAAGCATCTTCCCAGCAGCATGTGTTCAAATGCTACCAGTGTAGAAATAGTCAAGGAAGGGGCTCTAGTGCACTTTTTTGCCAACTTGTAAGAAACAAGAAATTGATACAAAACTTTTATTTTTCATTTAGATAGTCCAGATTTCTGTTACAAAGTGCAGACCTTTTGCTGTGTAACAAAGTACCTTATTAACATTCAATGTATTAAAATAATACTTTTCTCTTTTCAGTAAGAGAAGCAAGAAAGGAGATAAAAATGGGAAGGGTCTGAGGCATTTTTCAATGAAAGTTTGTGAAAAAGTTCAACGTAAAGGAACAACTTCATACAATGAAGTCGCTGACGAGCTGGTATCAGAATTCACAAATTCTAACAGCCACCTAGCAACAGATTCAGTAAGCAAATATGTGTTGAATTTTGTTATACCAATACAGTTTTGTTATACCAATTCCATGTTTTATCATGGAATTCTGTTTCTGCACTGTCCTGCCGCAGTCCATACTCTCCTTCACTTAACTAGTTCTCAAATATAAAGACTTACCCTTTGAAATCTCAAAATACAGAATTAAGGTGAAGAATTGAACTCCCTCTAAATTATAAACAAAGTAGAGGAATCTGACAAAATAACTAACTTTAAGGAAAGGCTACTCTTGTATATGTGGCCTTGTCAGGCTTTTCAACTGTGCCAGACTTACCATGATGGAATTTCCTGCAGAGATGCTTCAGGAAGACTTGAAACTTCCATTTGCAACCAAGCATGCTCATGTGGTGTCCAAGGGGTATCACAGGTGAAGGATTGTGGTTTAACACCACTCTGCCATTCTGGCATTTGAGCTTCTTCATGTCTGTGGAGGATGTGTCCAATTGCTTTTCCTTTTTTATTTCAATTCTTTTGTGGTAATTATTGTTGTCATGTTTTCTCAGCAGGCTTATGATCAGAAGAACATTAGACGGAGAGTTTACGATGCGCTCAATGTCCTGATGGCAATGAACATCATTTCAAAGGAGAAGAAGGAAATCCGATGGATCGGCCTTCCCACAAACTCAGCTCAGGAGTGTCAGAATCTAGAGGTACATGGGAAATTCTGGCTTGTTCCCATGTTCTGATAATTGACTTGCTCTTCTTTAGAAGAGGGATTTTTTTTCTTAATTTGAACCTGATTGGTTTTGATGCTTGTGCACTATGGAAATACAAATTCTGATATTGGAATAAACTGAAAAAATATGTTTGTGTATGCTTAGTTCAGTTTCATTTAGTATACATTATATTTAGTTTTTTTAAAAAGCCAAGCTGTTTACCTTACAAAAATGGTCATTGGTGAAATCAGGGATTATTTTTAAGATTAAAGTCTGTCATACCTTGAATTAACCAGAAGAAAGTAAAAAGAATTTATGGTTCAGTTACGCTCACAAAATGGTTTCCATTTAAAATGAGACCAATTCTCTATTGATGTCGGTACTTGAAAATATAATTCAAAGGGAATTAAATTGAAAAAAATTCCTGCTGGAATGTCAGATACTAGTTATGATCTACCAGAGAAAGCAAGAAGAAGTTTTACTTATCAGTTATTTTCATTATTTTTTCAGCAGACTAAGAATTACAGTGTTTTTTGCAGGGATGCCAGAATTTATATGCACAAATGTTGCCTGTCCTTCAGGCCAAATGTGCTATAAATAAAAAGCACAAATCACTGAATTTACTGCAGCCTGCTGTAATGGCTGTCTGCAAATACATCTCCATTTGTGACACTTGGACATTAGGTATCTTAAAAGGTGGGTGGGTGCCTCTGCAGTACAGAACAGTTCTTTTTGTGCAGGGTCATTTACATCAATTGTCTTTCTAGATGTGGTAAGAGAAAAGCTTTTACTGTCCTTTTCCATTACAGTGACTTGAAAAATACATCCATCCAAGGAGAATGCATGTGTTCAATCATTATGCTACAGGATGTTTTTTTAAATTCTAGATAAATCTACATTTTGCATGCATTCATGTGAATGCATTGTCTCCAGTATAGGCTATTGTTACAAATATGGAACTTGAGTTTCATTGTCTCATCTTCAATAATCATATGCAATTCACTCTTTTAAGCTTTAATTACACATGCACAAATTGGAAGCCAGCCATATTTTTCAAAAAATGTTGCTTCCTCTGACATAATAGAAAAGAATGTAAAACAAAGTTGCATTTTCATGGTGTGAAAATCAGAATTAATTTTGTTTTAAGTCTGTATAAAGTGGCAACTGCTCTTACAATGTAAATTCGTAATAAGATTACCAGTACAAAAATCACTGCAAAAGAGCTTTTTAGATAGGAACCATGCCTGAACGAGAGCTGTACTGCTCACTGGTTTTAAGAGTCACACAAAGACAAGAGCACAGAAAGCCAACTGAAAGATGCATTTTAAACATTAAAATGTGTGAGGAGGGAACCACCACAAAGCAACCTAGTAAATAAGATAGAGAGGAGTTTGGGCCAGCTAAGATTTAAAATACCACATTATTTAGTTTCAGAGCTTGAATGAAAAGGTAATTTAAGAGTTTATTATTTTGGGAGCCAGTGATACAGAGATGGCACAAAGAGGATGATGAGCAAAAAGCCCTTTCAGCCCCAGTGACTGTTGTCCAGTTCTTCAGCATTGCCCCAGAGGACACTGCCAAACACTGCTGAACCTGCAGGGTGAGCTCTGCCCTGTGCCAGCCCTGCATGTCCCAGGTACAGCAGCCTGCCCACATCAACCAGCAGTAACTGAACTGCTGCAGGAGCTGTGCTCCCACAGAAAATGCCCTTTTTGTTGCTGCAGTCTTGTCAGTTTAGTCAAGTCTCAAACAAAAAGGGGAGGTCACTGGGAGGATATAGGTGATCATAAGCCCAGCCTTCATATATATATGTCTAGTGGTTTGCAGCTAGGAGAACAGTGGGACATGCACAATTCCAAAAGAGTGGAGGCCAGAAGGGCACCAAATTGGCACCAGATTGGCACCAAATCAAATACTTGCACATCCTCTCAAGCAAGTCTTTGATTTGGTGCCAGTTTGCACTCAGTGCAAGAAAGAAGAGGCAGAATGGGAGGGACATAAAAGTCTCTTGTAATAATTAAATCTTTACTGGACTTAAAACTGTTGACAAAGAAAGACCTTTCAGTCCGCCAGACCTGTTTAATGGAGAAACTCTTATGTCCATGCAATTTGCCCCCATTTGCAGAGAAAGCCAGTTCAGTTTGGCACAAGGGAATGGACAAGGTAATTAAGGATCTTGATGCATTTACATTTATCTTTTAAGATAGAAAAGCAGAAGCGGATTGAAAGGATAAAACAGAAGCGAGCCCAACTGCAAGAACTGCTACTGCAGGTATGTTTAATTTTAATTTTTTTCCCCATAAATGAAAATATCAAGTGTAAATCCAACATGTTAGACCTTCTGAAGTTCTTTCTAGATTTAACTTAACAGCTGTGACATACTAAGGAGAAAAGTTTGACCCCTGGGACCTTTCTGGATTCTGGTAGGGGACCTCCTGCTGACACTCTGTGGTTCAGTTTTGCCTGCTGTAAACCAGCACGCTCCATCTCTGTGCCACAAGCTTTCCTAGGTGTTCTGCTGAAGCCCTGCCAACCTCAGTGGGAATAGGAATAAGTCACAAGTCCCCTTTGTTGACTCTAAGTCCCCTCAGAGCTACCCTGAGTCATTATCCAAATTTCCCTTTGGTCTAAGCTATGAAGTTCACAACAGAACTTGTGTAAATGTGTGCAGAGTTGTTTTGGGGAACGTAGACAATTCTGGATCTTGAGTGGAAGGCTGGCAAATCCAACACCTTTACTTTCTGCCCCATACCTTTGAGATTACTTTTAGGTTTAATTGCTGAAATATATTTCAAATGCATCTTATTTATAAAGTAACATTTTATAAATATAGTTATGAGCATTCCTTACCATTCTAGTCTGTGCAGACTTTTAGTAATTTAAATGTAATCAAATGATTTTATGAGATTACAGGCAACAAGGCTACACTTTATTGCTAGTTCAACTACACTGATACACTTTTCATGTAATTGATATTCACTGAAACTTTCAAATATCTGATGCTTGTCTTTGTTGGTCACCAAAAGCTGTTTCTCCACTTAGGGTACAATTGGGATTCTATCTGTCTGACCCAATACAGCAGCAGTTCCTCCAACAATAACATGAAATTACACTAGTGAAAATAAGGCACCTCAGGCCCTCTTAACTTTTAGTCCAAATATTGACAGAGTTGATTCCCTTACTTTTCACAACTGTCATTATCGCCCTGATTGTGTTGATTGCCAAAGGGTTTACCAGTCCTTTGGGATTGTGGCTATCCATCTTTTTCCCCTTAAATGGAATAAGCAGTGCCTCAGGTGGGTAAGTTCACTGACTTTTAGTCCCTCAAATAACCTAAAATAATTTCCTAAAACCACACATTTTCATACATGGTTCATATATAAGAAACCAGCAGGCAGAGAGTGGTGTCACAAACAGCATCTGCTTAATACCTTCCAGAGGAGAGAGAATTCTTTTGAGAGAGAGGAGAAGGTGATGGATGAGAAGGGAAGGAAAATAAAAATGCAGATATGGGAAGTGGGGGAACTTTTGTTTAGTGTAGATATCTCCTACCCTGAGGCAATTACACATAAAAAGTACCAGAGAAGACCTCTGACTCCAGAGCCATTTCAAAGGCATTGGGGAAGCATTCTCCAGCATGCCTTACTGCTCCTTTCTTGTTTCTTCTCCAGGGAATATGAGGGGAAACAGTCAATAGTAAATGTGTGCAAAAATTGGGTGGTATACTGAAGGTATTGAGAGTTGGTAAATAAGACATTATGATATAAGGTTTCATTTCCTGGAAACACTGATGTCTGCTCTTTTATTGTCAGTGATCATTTTTTTCTTTCTTTTGTTTTACAGCAAATAGCATTTAAAAACTTGGTACAAAGAAATCAGCAAAATGAACAGCAAAATCAAGGCCCTCCATCTTTGACCTCCACAATACAGCTGCCTTTCTTAATAGTCAACACTAGCAAAAGAACAATTATAGACTGCAGCATATCAAGTGATAAGTGAGTGTTTGTGAAATTAATTTTTATTATTTTATTTTCTTTGTGGACTGGAATTTTTCCTCAAACAAGTGAGGGAAATTTTTCTAGTTTACTAGAAGTAATTATTGCATTTACGTTTGCAGCTGTCACTTCAGGGTGTTGCTTGCTGTTGTTTTCAATATTTAATGCAACTGCAGTAATAATATGGATGAGTTTATTAACACTGCCTTACAATCTCTAGTTAAAACAGGCTTTCACTGTTGTAAAAGGCACTTCAGGCTGACATTCCAAAGAGCATTCCCTGCACAGAAGAAATAACTGAATGAAACTGTTTAGTAGGAGAGCACTACCTTTTAAATCAGCCATGTGAATTCTTGCTCTTAGTATGCCATAAAAATGTACACAGTCAGAAACACAAGGTTACCCATGTGACACAAAAGTAACATACTCCAGGTGATGATAACAACTTTGAAAATGTTTTTTAACAGCAAAAAGTTCTTTGAAGGAAAAGATACAGAGATTTGTAATACTTTGTGAGCAAACTGCTACAGTTGCATTCACATTAATCTGAAAATCTCCCAGTTACATAATTGTGGGTGTTTGTGCTTTTCATCCTGTGAAAATATGGCTGAAGTTTGAGGTGCTGTTACCTTAACTGGTAATCTGCTCACAATCAGTTTATTAGCTGGAAATAGCTGGCTTTGCTCTAATACTGTAGATTACAGATTTCTCTCTGTGGTATGCAAATCTTGTACTGAACTTCAAGTCAATTACACAGCAAAAATAGACACACTCTAGTAACCCATGTACCAGCATGCAAAACAGCAATTAAAAGCTGATTTTTTGTAGAAAATTCAATGAAGTTCAGTATATTCTATCACAAAACTTGTGGAATACTCTCAAGAGCACTGCAGTTCAGCAAGTTGGGAACTTTAGGATCATTTTTGATTTAGCATAATTATACCCTTATTCTGTAGTCTCATTTTAAAGGTCTTCCTGCTCTTTTAAACAGGACTCTACATTTAGGTTTGAAGTTGTTAAAGAGTTGAACAGTTTCATACTGACACTTCAGAACTGCTGCTTTGAGTTGTCAGAGATTAATCTGGCATTTGGGATCCAGAGCAGTGTAACACGTTTCTGTGCTCTCCAGCTGTGTGAAAACACTCCCTACTAAAAGTGAGCACACCAAAATTATTGTTGTTGATACTTCAATTTATATAACTCAGCTGTGGTAGTGTGTGACCTGGAGGTCATTAAGTGTACAACCCAAATTAAGCCAGCTTTCCACTGGGGTTATTATTTGTGCAACTAATTAGTGGCAGCAGTAATAGGTAAACAGTGCCAGAAGCTGCTCTGTTTTAACCACTGTTACCCTGATCTGCTAAATAAGGCAGTTAGCAAAGGTGGTTTGGTGATTTCCCAGTCTGTAGTTAACTGGGGAGTGTTTCTGCTGCCTGACTCCATCACTGGTCAGCTTGAGGGCTTGCTCTGCACTTGGTTCCAGACTGAATCCACTTTTTAAGGGGCTTCCATTTTCCTTTCTTCTCCAAATAACATTTATATAAAGTACTGGTGTTAGTAAGTCCAATGAAGAGCCAAGCTCACAGCATTAGCTACTCAAAACTGTAGAGGAATTACAAAATTCCAGAGGAACTTCTACAGAAAGTAATTGCTTGGAAATGTCGTACATGTAAGGGTGGTACAGTATCAGAAGGAAAATAGGTGTGTGTCCTCTGTTTTCCTATGCAAGAACAGCCAAAACAGAGCAAAATGTCTCACAAATAAATTAAAAAAAAAAAAGAAATTATTGGGCAAGTTTTGTTTAGGGTTTGAGAAGGTAGATGGGTGCCAAGCAGCAAGCTGGGAATGGCATTTCTGAAGCTGGAGCAGGAAAAGCAAAGTCTTCAGATAAAAAGGAAGTAGTTAAGAACTAATTTTAAAGATGAGGCACCTGAACAAGTAAGTCCCATTTAAACAGGAAAAACTTATTTAGTGTATATGGTACTTCTGTATAAATGCTGTTGGTCCTAGAAAAAAAAAAAGAAAAAATAGCCAGAATACCTTGTTGTAAACAAGCTTTCAGACACAATAGATGTATCAGAAACTTGGAAAATTAGAACATCTCTAAGGGGAAATGCAGATTTTGTACAGCACTGGAGATACAGTGCTGTATATCAGCAAGAACATGTAGGAAGTGACCTCTTGTACCCTTACAGAAAGAATTGCCTGTAGCAGCAGAAAATCCAGATTAAAATCACTGGTGATCAAATTTGCACTTATCATGGGAAAGGGGCTGGAAGTGTACCCAAATTTTGCATACACAGTATTAATAGCCTCTGGACCTGCCTTGTATCACTGAATAATAACATGGTAGCCCAGCAGATAATTCCTGTGAGAACAAAAGTCAATTTCTCAGTAACAACTGAAATCATGCTGGGAATTACCAGGAAAACCAGCAAGGACTGCAGTGTAAAGCAAGATGCATGTAGTGCTTTATCTGGAATCCTACACTCTCATGTTCTTGGGACAAGTATGGCATAACCAAGAGACACACAGGAGGGCAGCAAGAAGGGCTGAGGCTGTGGAAGGGCTTTGACAGAAGAAGCAGATGGGCTCTTTGGCCTAGAAAGGAGAGGACATTGCATTCCCAGGTGTCTCAAAAGTCATGAGCGATATGGGAACATATATAGAGAACAGCTGCACACAGTTGCTTATTAAATTGAGAGACATTAAGAGAAGAAACCAGGTCATGACAAAAAGGTTTTTGTAACACTCTATGCAAGTAGTAATATTTGATTTTGTTAATGGTAAAAGTTTATAGTTCAAAAGGGGGTCATGTCAAGTGCCTGAAAGAAAATCTTCAAAAAGCTGTTAATAGCAAAATAGAAGTGTAGGGATTTCTAGCAGGCTGCTAGAAACTAAACTGGAGAAATACTGAAGACTGTAAATTTCTCAGTTTGGAAACTTGCTGGGAAAGGAAATTAAGTTGCCTTCCTTTCTGACATCCAGTATTTGGCCACAGCACATGGGAGAAGAATTGCAGAGCTATCAATAAATGCAGCTTTTGATGCTGTGCCATAAATTGGAATTCAGTTATGAGTCAGTAATTACAGCTGGTGGTAGCTTGGTATGACACCGAGCTGTGCCAGTTTAGGCAGCAGCGATGTAATTGTACAGGTTGAAATGAAAATGACACATCTTATTTTCCTTCTTAATGTGATTATGCTGAAATAAATAAAGGTACATAAACAATAGGTTTAACAAGTAATATGGTATGAGTCATAGAAGAAATGCTGTGTGTAACTGATAATTACACCCAGCACAAAACATTATATTACCAATTAAAAATTCTGTGTATAAACTCAAGAACTGTAAAGCTTCCAAGTTTCCTGGTTCAGGTATAAGAAAATCAGTATTAGAAAACAACCTAGCAAGAAAATTGACATGTGACATGAGCTTGGAGAGCTAATGGAAGACCCACCAGTGAGTTATCTTTTAAAGACTGTATCTCACAGATGAGTTGCTTTTCCAAGGATAAAGGTTTTGTTGGCAGGACAGGAGGTACTGGGAACTGAGCCTTATTTTACAGACCAGAACTGTCCAGGCTTTTAATACCTGTGATGACAGTGTAAGACCAGCCTAAATGCCCCTGCATTTCTTAAAGCTGTCTGAAGTTTATATCTCAATTTCCATTTTTATTTGCAGTTAAAAACACTTTAAAAGTCCTGCAGCAGGAACAATGGGTTGTGAACACACATGACTCTGAACAGTCTGCTTTTCTAGCTGCATCCAAAGAAGCAAAATTATACCAAAGTAAATAGGTCAGTTCACAGGAGGAGTGTTGCACATTAGAACAGAAAGTGAAATGCGAAAGCAGAAAAACAAAATAGTTATTTTGGTGACAGGGCTTCAGGTGACCTTATTGGCTTTAGTGCAAGTGAAGGTTCATGTTTAATTAAGGCCTCCCTCTTCCCCTTTGAATCTACTTAATGAGGTAGAAAATTTTAAACTTTGTTCCTGCACTGGTGAAGTTACTTTAATTGAGAATGTGCCATTTTAAACCTGTAGGCATGCCAGTCACAGAAAAGAGAAAGCATTTCTTGCACTTCTCTTTCCTTGAGGACCCCTTACAGAAAACCAGGACTTCAGGTGCTTACCTTAGTACATGCCAAAACCACCAGAGAAAGAATAGGCAAGAAGAGCACAGCTGTGCTCTTTTCAGAACCATCTCACTTTTCATTTTTCCATGCAGATTTGAATACCTCTTTAATTTCGATAATACTTTTGAGATTCATGATGACAGCGAGGTGCTGAAGAGAATGGGAATGTCCTTTGGGCTCGAAGCAGGCAAATGCTCAGCTGAGGACCTGAGAACTGCAAAATCACTGGTGCCAAAAGCTTTGGAAGGCTACATCACAGGTAAGTGAAATATTGTTTCTGATCAAATCCATAACCTTACTAAACTGAAGCAAATTTAATTATATTAACTTACATATGTAAATTTCAGGGTTTGGAGGACTTAGTAGGGTTGATACATGAACCAGTTGTTTTGCTGTTAATTTTGGAAGGTTTATCTTAATTGTCCTTAATGCACACTGATTTATAACAGTGTGATGTGTGAGCTGCATTATGAAGAAATTATTTCTTAAATAACTAAGTTGACACCAAGAACAAATTTTTATGTTAGTATTAATTCTGAGTAACTGAATGTATGGAGGAGCAAACTGGAAGAAGGCAGCTCTTCCCAAGCTGAGGAAAAGGAAAGAAAAAAGAGCACCTTGAGCTGGTTGGGTGCAATCCCTCAGGATCCAGCAGGTGCCACCTGAGAACTGAGCTTCTCTAAATAAAGCAAGTCCAAAGACTTCAGGACAGGTGTCCCAGGCAGGGGCTTTTACCTGCCCTGTTTGAACAGGTCGTGCTTAGACACAAGACTAGAACTCCTTCAGTCCATCCCTGGACTGGAGCTGCCACAATTGGCTGTCACTTCCTATAGTTACTGTCACTGTGTCCTTGCTGCACCGCAGCTTTAACTTAGCCCAGCATTTTCTCAAGTTTACATTTTAAATGGCTTAACATTTCAAACTACATCAGATGTGCTTATGTTTATTAACATTTATCTGTATTTTCCTGGTTCTCTTGTCCTGTGGGTTTTAAAACTAAAATTTCCTATTTTATTTTTGATCAATTTTGAAATCGCACCTGAAGTCTTTATAAAATGGCATTCACAATAAAAAGAGAAGTTGAAAGAATTCTTGATTTGTTCCTCACAGGTTCACTCAACTCAACATTATTTATCAGCATGTGTGAAAAAGGGGAAAGGAGCAGAACCCATGTATTTTAATAGTGTTGCAATGTTGAAGTTACTTAATTGCTCCCATGTGTTGAGGATCAAACTAAAATTCCTTTTTCATTTTAAGCCTGCATTAATTTACCTCCAGGGAATAGGGTTTCCTTGCATTTGCAAAAAACCCAGTGTCATGACACTGTTTACTGAGTACTTCCCTAGTAGCAAACCAGCAGCCTGGTACCTGTATAGAGTTTTAATCATAGGAAATGCATTGATTTTATTTTTTACTCAAAATCATTAAGGCAAGTATTGTACTCTTCATACATGGGTTACATTCAGCTGTTTCAGCCTCTGTAAAATTTAGCTTAGAAGTATTCCTACTAGTATATGTACTTAAAAAAAAAAGGTACTTTATTTTACATACCAGTACATATATTAATTTTAAATGTTTATTCTATCTGTTCCTTATTACATAATTGTGCTACACAAATCTACAGTTAAGAGTATGAATTGCATAGTGGTGGTTTCTAATTGCAGTAAGCGACCAATAAAGGAAACAGATTTAAATGTTTTGCACAATATTTGAAAAGCCAGCATTTACCTGATTACATTTTTTTGTTATCTTCCCATATTAACCTTGGGAGCCTTTAGACATTTTCTTACACAGCAAGAGTAGGGAAATAGAAGGGTCATCCCTGGTTTCTAGAATTCATGGTTACTTCTACATTGCCATGATGGCTCTTCCAAGGACAGTGGCTTCAGTTACCACTATACCGAGAGAACAGATCCAGGTCTCTTATTGATTCACTGAGTAAATATATTGCAATCAAGATTCATTATGATCCCAGTAGCTGCTCTAGACAGCCAGTCTAGACAGACACACAACTGCTCTGGAAGCTGCTCCTGTTCTAACGTGTCCAAATAGGTGAATTATTTCCTGTACAATGTCAGTTTGACCTTAGCCTGGACATTATTTCAGATAATTCCTGACTTCTAAACACTAACAATAGTTTGTACTATAATGCTTACCAGTAGGACTAGAGAAGCAGTTGGAAGAATCCTAAGTGTAAACCAGATAAACTAAAGAAACTTTTACTTGACAAAAAATGTTGGATCATCTCAGCTTTGAAAAGCAGTAACTTTCTATTTGCATTGAACAGGCACATAAAATGCTTGGAAGTGATGATGTGCACATCAAAGCTTTATTGGTGGATTTTCTTTTGAAGAGGATTGTGTGAATTCAGCCATTCTTCAAGTGCCCAAATTTCATAAAAGTAGTGTCTTCTAGGTTTGCTAGTTTCACCATGTTTTAGCAAATAAATGTATTTTTGTAATATGCATTTTAAATATTACATTGGTGTGATTCCCAGGTATGCCTGCCACTGAAATCAGCAGAAGCTAAGGCATATTGACCTCCAAGAGAAAAAGATTCTGTATCTTACATTATTTTTGTAACACATTTTTCTGTTGCTTGACTGTCATAACTGACAATGTCTAAAACATGACACTTGCCCCAGCTTAAGAGGACATCCCAAGGACACAATCCTAATTATACATTCCTGCCCATTTCTGCATTTTGACCCAGGTGATTTCCCATGTGCTCTCCCTAAGCTGGTTCCTGGTACTAAAGTGCAGGCTTTGTCTGGCAGACGACTTTGCATCAATTGAACAAGTAGAACTATGTAGCAAAGGGCTCCAGCCAGAACTGCTCAAGTGCAAAGGGGGCAGTGAGGTTGCTGGGTGAGCAGAAACACTCCTGGGACAAGCATCAACTCGCAGAACAGCAGCCAGAGTAACATCTCTCTTTTTTGGGCTGTACACTTCCTACAGGCACTTACCACAAAACCAAGTCCCACTTTTGTTAGTTGAGTTGTTACTACTAGAAATGAGGCTGCAGATTTTAAAAAAAGCAGGAAATAAGGTTTCTGAGGCACTAACAGTTGAGGTAACAACATCTTACCTTATGTATCCCACTAAGGCAGTGAGCAAAGTGGTGCAGTTTAGGACTTGGTTTTTTAACCTGTGTGAAGAAGTGCTCTGCTGTTTACCTGTGTAATTATCCATGATGGGAGAATGGGCTGGAGATGGAACTAAAGAGCTAAGAGCACCCACTGCCTGAGCAAGTTTGTTCAGATGTCAAGAACACTCCCATGCAGCATTTGTACATTAACTGCTAAAGCTATTGAGTGTATTGCTTTAGAGCCCTCTCAAATAAAGTATACATTTCTACCAAGAGTATCTGCTACAAGATATGCCTAGTATATAACAATGCCACTACTGGATTGGACTGCACCACCTTGGGAAGGTTCATTCAAATTGCTTTCCCTGGTTTTAGGTGTAGCTATTAGTAAGTGATCTACACTGCCAGAAGAAATAAGTCTTTTCATTGTAGGCACACTTCTGTTTTGACAGACTTTAACCATACTGGAAATGGCTTCAACTCCCCACCTTTCACAAACTTCTTATCCCTTGCTCCTCAGAGCCCACTGGAAAATTGAAATACATATTATATTATTGAAATATATATAATATTTAGAAATATGAGGCAATGAAAATTCAAGGCAGGGATATGCTTTTATGAACCACCTTTCTGCCATGCTTCTACTTTGCTCTTCAAAAGGAAGACTAACGAGCTATTATCCAGAAATGTTTATAAACCACAAGATTACCAGCAGTGTCTTCTTAATCTTCTGAAATATTAAACATGTACACACAGGTACAGTACTTCAAAATACAGGGAACAACACTGTGGTACAGCTCTATTAGTCTAAATACAATGCAGTCATTCCAAATGGTTTAGCCTCCTCCTGCACAGACAGGAGGAAGCTGTGAGAACATGTTCTCTGTAACATGAAACCTGCATTTAGGGCAATCTTGATGAAAGACATCAGGCTCCAGCCACACTTAACTGTTCTCATCTATTCTGTCCTCACACATCACCCTAAAACTGCCACTTATCAACATTTGCTATCATGTTCCAAGGACTGCTGCCAGGAACACCACCCTTGCTAGCCTTGTTTTGTACCATGGCATTTAAATACCTTGCTGCAACAGCTTTCCACAGCACAAACCAAGGTAGCCTGGGAAGCCAATTTACATGGCTGTGGCAGCCTGCTTCAAACAGTCCCTGTGCTAGGCAGCACTGCCAAATCTAGAGGAACCAAAGCTTGACAAGGACACAGGACAAATGAGAATGTGTGTGTAACAAACACAGTTATTTCTCTTACCTGCTGTTATAGAACAACTTGAGATAATTATGAGTAGTACAGTCCCAGTTACTGCCACTGTGCTGTCTAAAACAGAGGCTTGGTTAGGCACAGAGTTTAACAGTAAGGACTCTAACTTCTGATTTAAAACATCCAGCTGGAACCAGATGCAAGTGCCATAGAAAAGAACTAGACAGTCTTGGTAACTTTGTTTTGATGTTAACTTTGTGTCGAGATAGAATTTGGGTAGGTGAATAGAAATGCCTTATCTAAGAAACAAATTAGAAACACAAAAAAAATCCATAAATATAAGTGGGTCAGTAGACTTGGTTTGGTGATTCTCTTGGCAGAAATGTGCATAACTGGAAACAACTGACAGGCATAACTACTTGTTAGGGAATTTGAAAACAAGTATTGTGGGGGTTGTTAGTAACCTCTTCACATCTCTCAGGGGGTTTTTAACAAACTGCCTAAAGAAACTTGGCATTATTGCCAGACCATTTTAATGGTCTTAATGCCCCCATTTCCTGGCCCTAGGGAGGACAGTGCCTTTCATGTCTCACGTGCAGTGTACAACAGGCTCTCTCTTCCATTCTTGGCACCAGCCCTTTGCCATGGTCTGTGCATGTCCACAGCTTCTGCCCAGCTCTGGCTGGGGGCACAGTGGCTGAGGAGGCTGCCCCACAGCCAGCCATGAGAGCACCAGGCTGAAACTGCCTGAAACAGCAACACAGAGACTGCCTGGGTGGCTTCACTGCACTGTCTCAAACCCAAATAAATACAATTCCTTTTGTACCCTCACCAAGTGGGGCAGCCAAGGCTTGGAGCTGTCTGGGCATTTCACAGGGTCAGGCTGTGGCAGTGAGTTTCCATGAAGGACTCCAGAACTCATTTCAGGTACCTGTGATTGCATACAGTCACCAGCCAGGTGAATCTTCTTCAGAGGGAAAAGCTGAGTGCAAGGCTTAAGTGAATCCACAAACACAGGATATCATTTCATCTTGATTAAACAGGACACATGTACGGTATAAAACTCAAGCTACTGGTACCTTCTAAACTAAATTAAGGGATCCTAATTGCAAAGAGAATGCAAAATTTAAAATTGTAAAAGAAAGAAAAAACATAAGTAACTATAATAAATAGCTATGCTTTCTTCTAGATATGTCTGCGGGATTTTCATGGGTAAACCAAGGGTTAATTTCAAGTTCAGCACAAGCAGTTTCCCATTTTGAGGCAGCTGGAAGCACATATGATGCTAAATCAAGGTAAATAAAATTATTTTTTATTCAAGAATAGTTATATATGTGGTACTTTAGTAACCTTGCTATTTCATACCATTTGCACGCAGGAATTGAGATATTATCATTGCTGATTTTAGTGGTGAAAAAGTCTCTGTCTTCCATGAAGGAAAATTATGTTTGAAAGGTCAAATCAACATGCTTTGAACATTGACCATACCAGCTATTTTGTACCTATGTTTCATAAGAATAGAATCACTTCCAAGCCCCCTTTCCTGATTAACCCTAAATTCCTGCCTGGGCATGGACTACAGATAGATAATTACATGTGGATAAAAGCCTGGTAATATTTCTGAAGATTGCACAAGAATGTCTGCTCTCTAAATGCACTGCTATTTAAGCTTTCATGAAAGAAATTTAGTCCACGCAACTTAATAAGAATTTAAAATTAAAAACCAACAACCAAACAAAAAACACCATGAGCAAACCCCAACCTTAAATACACCTCAGCAGCAGACTTTGCTTGGAGGCTACCTGTACCACAAAAAATGGAAATAGGGATTATTGTTTTGGAGCAGGCTCTTTCTCATAACAATTAACAGCCTCATTGTATATTGCAAACATTTCTGTGTATTAAAGAAACTGAGATGATTTCCTTTTTTTTTCTTCAGCTTAAGCAATTCTATTAGTTGATTATGAAAAAAAAGGAAGTCACCCAATATTCTTTTTTATGCAATTTTCCAATGTTTTTCAACTCTCCTAACTAACTTTGGGATTTTTCCTTGTTGGTAGCATTTCTCTGACTAAAGGAAAAGCTGAGGCCAAAAAGAAAAAGCTTAAAACCTCCTGAGAAGCCCTCTAAACTTGCCCCTTTCTGTTGTCTTGCTAGTGAGAATGCAGGGCTGTGTTTGGATGCTGAAGTGGCCTTAGCAACGGGGCAGCTGCTTGCCCCTAGCAGTCAGCAGTCCAGCAGCGCAGCGTCCCGGGGGGAGACGCCCTGCTCCTTCAATGAGGAGGATGAAGAGGATGAAGATGAGGATTCTTCCTCCCCAGAATGAGGACAGGAATATACAAAATGCTGCTCAAATATTCTTAATGGGAGTTCCTGTTTGGATTTTACTGGTTTCTTGCCTTGGTTTGCACTGTGTTTGGTGAACCAAAATGGAAGCTTCAAAACAAGTTTATCCATAGCTGAAATTGAAGAATTGTGTAACTGAACACAGAGTGACATGCAGAGACAGAGCAAAGTGGGTTTTATAAACTATAAATGAGGAAAAGAACAAAGTCCCTGGAGATTTGGCAAAGTAAACCTTAAGATCATCTTTTCCATTTTGGGACTCGAGTATCTGTCTTCCCCTTGTCTTTTTCAGATGGAGGAGAAAACAGTCAGTCAGTAAAAGCTGATTCTTGTATTGTCTTTTGGCTGTTCTGCCTTTAGAAAAAGGGGGAGAGAGCACACACAAATGTGCTAAAATCATTATTTAAAACTATCTTGTATGAAAGTGGTTATAGGGAAAAGGGACTGTTAAAATGTTTGCTTTTTTTCTGTTCAACTTGCTGTACAGAAGATTCTTAAAGTAATATAAATTGCAAGTGATTAAATGAATCTTGAAATAGTTTATATCCATTTTAGATACTCTAAAAGTAACAGAAAGCATTAGTATAAAAGGTTCATATGTTCATTTATATTGCAGGCCTAATTTATTTTAAGTGATTATTCTTAGCCATTATTAAAACAGTCAGAAAAAAAACAGTATTCTCTGCACCAGCTTTTTTCAAGGAAAATAAGTTAAAAAATTGTATTTCTAGATTACAGCGTATTCAGTGTAGCTTCTCCTTTATTGTTCTAACTTTATATAATCCCTTTGATATTAGAGCATGTCTTGTTTTTTTAAAAAAGGCCTCCCACTATGTTAAGGATCTCAGGCAGTGTGTTTTCAAGGCAGTCTTTTCAAATTTGGGGTGGGCAGGTCACATAACTTTTAAAGTCATAGGCTGAGGTTCTTAGGGAAAAAATTAAATTTCAACAATACATTGTTTCATGTTTTGCATTCTGACAGACTTTCTTATCAGTAAGTTCAGTTGCACTCACCTTGATGCACCTTTGAAAGTTGTGTCAAACCATGTAAAATACTCTGTGGCTCAAGTTACCCAGCACATATCCCATGTGAACTGTTAAACTCAGACTTGCAGCAGAAGGCTGTGTTTTCCATAGCTAACATCACATCCAATCATAAAGACCTTTTAAAAAAACCAAAACCTTGAATATCAATGTAAAATACACTGTAGATGTACTCTTCCCATGGTGTTCCAGCGCCCAGGACTTTGCCTAGCTCTGAGGTAACTGTTTTTCATGAGGTCAATCTTGCCAGTTTTTCCTCTGTCTGCAGGGGCTGTCCCATGTCCCAGCTGTCTGGGGCAGCTGTCCTGGCTCTGTTCTGCTCTGGGGGATGGGTGAGGTCCCTTGTGCTGCTGCTCACTGAGCAATGGCAGCAGCTGCCCTGGGCTGCTGCAGCATCACTCTCACAGCCTGGGCTGTGTCCACAGCGTCTTCTACAGCCAAACTTGCACTCACTCCAAAAGCACCGAGCCTGAGCTACAGAGACAAAATGAGGCCCCAGCTCAAGAGCTGCCTGGCTGTGTGCAGGAGTTAGCCCAGGGCTGTCAGCCACAGGTAAAACTGAGGCATAGACAAGCACCACCCACACGTTTCCATTACAAACAGAAGCATCCAGATAGGAACTTCTCACAGACATTCAAACTCCTGCAGCTGAGGAGTGCCTGAGGGCAGCACCAGTACTAGCCATGGCTTTTGACTGAGCTGTTTTACAAATGAATGGCAAATGCACAAACTGAAATGCCTACTATGGTACTCACCTCGGGGCAAGACTGCTCAGCCCATCCTGTGCTCATGGCTCACAGGCAGCAGCAAACTGAGGGCTTCACACCCCCTCACTTCCACCGAATCTGTAACACTACCTCCATACCAGAAAAGCTTTACAGACACAAAAAAATATTCCTGCTGTGAGAGGCAGTGCATTGAGCCAAGTGGTTCACTTTTGAAATGGGGGGAGAAGGGAACAGGTACTTCACACATACTACTATGGAATTGTCAGCTTCATGATTGACATTTCATTTAAACAGATCATCACTTTCATTGTTAAAAAACCCATTGCTTTTTCAAAAGTGCCCTGTCAGTAAGCTTTCATTGGAAAGGACATATCAAAGGTAACTTACATATGCATGAGCCTAAGGAATTCTTTACAGGGAAATATCTTCCAGAGTAGTTATACCACCCTCTCCCCAACAATACATTAAGGACACATTTGACTTTACACTTTCTTCACATTTCCCACTCAAGATTGATGTAAAAAGAAAAAACAGCAAAACACTAAGCAGTTCCTAAAGAGCAGCACTTTGAACTATAAGAACCTGGCAAAAAAAAGGCTTCCAGCCCAGAAATGGAATGTATTTTATTAGCAGTCAGTCTGCTTTACAGGGGGAAGGAAGATCTTCAGTGACACCTTTCCTCCACTGATGTCTGTACCCTTCAAAGCTGCAGCCTGCACAGCTGCTTGCTTTCTGGCAAACATCAAACTATCAAATTTAAAGATAAAAAATATGGGCACACATAACATTTATTTGACAGTTGAACCAAGCCTTCAAAAGTTATTTTTCCTGGACTAGTTGAATACAAAGGACAAAACAAGTTAGAACATTTAGAAGAGACTTCAAAAGTAAATTCTTTCCTTGGGCTTCTTTGTGCCAGTTGAGGATGAAGTTCAACTGAAGCACTGCAGTCTTGTGGCCACACTCAAGTCTGGGAACTAGGAGAATTTGGGACCTGATCCAGCCACAGTCACCTGTGTATGATCTCAGGCAAACTTTTCAATCATTCCTGGTGATCTTAGCTGCCATAGTTAAAAAAGACACAAAAACCACAAACCAAAACAGGTAAATGCAAGACCTCACCAAAGGCAGCTGCTGCAATTGTGAGTAACAAAGGGCTTGAGAATATTAACAAACCACAGAGCTCTCACTGAGCTCATGGCAGTGCTTCAACACACAGGCCCTCCCTCCTGCTGAGAGCCAGCAAACACTTTCCACAATAAAATGGTCCTGACCAAGCCTAGTTTTCCCATTTTCTATTCAGTTCCATCATCATCTCCTGTCTCATGCAATACCCCTGACATTCATTGACAGGAATCAAGCAGCAATTGGTACTAGGTTATACTTCATATGAGAAAAAGTTAGCACTTAGATTTTCATTGTTAAAATTTATTTCATTATTCAAATTTTCATTATCAAATTTATCTTCTATTTAAAGTAAATTTAAGTGATGTTTTTGTGTCTTGGAACACTCTCTCTTGGTTATGCATTCAGGAGGCACTTGACTGCAAGCAATATAATGCTGTATGTAAATACCTTTATAGCTATTGTGCACTAAACTTTTCTGGACTAACTTTGTGGTGCTTGAAAAATCTAAATTTGATTTAGAAAAACTTGTCAGCTCCACTAGATGAAAAACTATGAGTGGGAGACAGCATTTTTCCATTATGTGGAAATATAACAAAGTAATTGTGGATTTTGGTATTTAAAATTGTATTAAAGTGCACCAGTTTTCACATTTCCACACTGGAATTAATGCCAACTTAATCTCAGAAAGGGTGTGTGTCTAGCAAATAAGACCAGTTCAACTGAAGGTATGACTTCAACTAACACCATAAACCCAGTAAAAGCCCTGTTGTAGGTGTTTCCATTTTGGTTAAGGGGTTTTAATTTTTAAACCACAGCTTGCAAATACCCCTAAGTCCTTTTGAGTAGCTAGAAATTGCTGAGGATACAGAATTCCCACAAAAGGGCTTCTGCTGATCAACTATGTCAGCCTGAAGTAACATTATGTAAAAAGGCCTAATAACCACATTTTAATCCTTTTGGTTTTTTAAAGAAAAAATGAGGCCTTCATGTTCACACATGAAATGATGCTTGAATTTACAATTCCACAGTTAAGGTTTAAAATTTCAAGTGCTCTTCTTTTTTGACCAAATCCACTGTTTTAATTCAAGAGTATGGCTGAAACTTAACCACATTTGAACTCTGGGCAATACTGCTTTTTGTAGTTTACTGGCCCTTTTCAGCTGAAAATAATCAGGCAGTTGATGGTAAAGACTTTCCCTTCAGCAAGTTAAAGATGTTTGGGGTTTGGATTCATTTAAAACCAAAGCCAGCACCACAGGGGATGGTGTAGAGAAAACAAACCAAAGCAAGCTATCTTCCTGCCTGACCCACCTCATTTATATCTTTTCATTCCAGGAATCTCTCATGGGCATCATTACATTAAATAACCAGATGTAATGGGCTGGGGAAATGTGTGCTTTTTAAATTTGTGATTTAAAAAATTCTGGTAATAGCCATACTTTGAGGTGACATCCTTCTGCTGCACTGGGTCCCTGAGGCTGCAGGTGTCTCAGGTGCCTCTTGCAGCATTAGTGATGAACAGGGGAGGGAGAAGCCAAGGGCCTGTTTATGGAGGTTTGTTGTTTAAAATGTGCCACTGCTTGAATTCTGGCCTCTGTCTGCAAGCAGTGCACCAATGAATCATTTGTGATGTTGTGGACATCACACACCTACCTGAGCACATGAAAAACTCTAAATACTTCATTTTCTGCTGGCAGGTGTTCACACAACCCAATCCTGATACCATAAAACTTCATGAAACTCAGTCCTTAGACTTAACAAAGTTCCCAAATCAGATTATCTCTTCCCTGTTTAACTGTTAGAATTTTGTCTGGTGAGTATTTTTAAGAGGCTGTGAGTAACTCTTCTCTCCCCAGTCCAGGTATATTGCCAAAAACCACCCATAAGCAATGTTACTCCCATTTGTTCATTCCCTCTGCCAAGGATTATTGTCCTTGCAAGTCACTGCAGAGCTGTGTGTGCCAGAGCCCCTCAGCTCCTTCAGTGTGAGTGCCTGAGGGGGCACCTGGATCCCTCCCCAGCTGGCACTGACAGGGAGGGGAGGGAATGCTCAGCACACACAGCAGTGTGCCAGGAACAACTGCAAGGGCTGTTCATCACAGCTGTACAGTCACTCTCCACCTTTAATGCACCTACCCTGTCTGCCCACCCAGAGATCAGACAAAACCAAAATGTTCTCCTTTCTGCTTCCATATTTTTGAGAGTACTGAAGAATCCAACATTTAGGACATCCACCTAAACTGCAGGACACCAAAAATCCTTGCTCAGAATTGGTCAGAAGTAACATCTGGGATCTAACCATCCAAACCCGAAGGGAAAGTCTCCTACTTAGGACCAATATGGAGCAAATAAATACTTTTGCATTTATCTAAGAAGAAAAGCAGACTGACTGGTTGAGGTCAGTATCTGTAACACAGCCATTATAATTCCAAGCAGACACAGAAACATCCCAGAAGCCCAAACTTGCATCTCTATGATTATTAGTTTTCTGTATTGGCTAGAAAAGTGCAATCACTTAAATCTGATTTCTCTAAATGCCATTCTTAAGTACTCAACATTCTCCAGGCATGGGTGCTTTGGAAATGTGGCCAGCATGGGATAGCAGGATACAGCAATGTCAAATTTAAACCCAGTTGTAGCTGCAAATCAAACTCATCTATGCAGAAACTTTCCAAGACAAATTGAGTTGGCTTTAGCCCATTGTCCTCTCCATGAGTGAAACACTTGTCCCTCACACTGCCTGCTTCCTGTGCTGCCCATGCTGCCCACCCACACCAGCCAGGCAGCCAGAGAGGGAAGAACATCACATATCCACAGCCCTTCCTGCTGACATTTTCAGGTCACACACAACTATTCTGAATGCTCACGAAAGTTAAAACTATCAGAAAAGGTAAAGTC